AACGCTGTTTGAGGTCGAGTTCTGCAACATACGCGGACTCCACTCTAACCTCAACGCTGTCCACCACCATCTTGAGACAGCACGGCCAGCATTGTTGTTCCTGACGGAGACACAAATACTTCCGCCTGCTGACACAGGCTACCTTAATTATCCCGGCTACGTGCTTGAAGAGTCCTTCAAAGCGAAAGCCGGTGTATGCCTGTATGTTCGGGCGGATGTTTGTTGTCGCCGTCTCCGCTGCTTGGAAGATCCCTCCTTCTCCATGCTGGGGGTACACGTCGACTCTGGCCCCCTGGCCAGAGTTTACGTGTGTCTTTACAGATCCCACACCGGCGATGTTGAGACAACTCGACTTTTTGAACACCTTAGTCGGGCAGCAGATGACGCGCAGGAACAATTTCCCAATGCAGAATTGGTGTTTTTGGGGGACTTTAATGCTCACCACAATTTGTGGTTAAGTTCCTCCAAAACTGACCATGCAGGGATCTCTGCTCACGCATTCGCTCTCACGCATGACTTGAAGCAACTGGTTGATCAGCCCACCAGGATCCCAGATATTCCAAGTCAAGCGCCTTCTTTACTGGACCTTCTGCTCACGACCCATCCACAGGGCTATCAGGTTGTGGTAAGAGCCCCCCTGGGCTCGTCAGACCACTGCCTGATATCTGCCAAAGCACCACAGGCCAAGCCTCCGCGTCCAGCAGTGGTCAAGCGCCGTATCTGGCATTATGGGTCGGCAGATTGGGACGGTATACGTGACTACTTTGCGTCCGTCCCTTGGAAGCAGCGCTGCTTCAGTGACAGGGACCTATCGGCCAGTGCCGTTGCCATTACTGAGGAGATTATAATGGGTATGGAATACTATATTCCTCATTCTGATCTCATCAGTAAGGGCACGCGTAACCTCTGGTTCAATCACGACTGTGCTGAAGCTGCTTCGCGTAAGCAAGCGGCATATCGTGCTTGGATCAGAGGTCGCGCTCTCAAGGATCCCGAGGTCGATTCACTCAAAGCAGCCTACAATTTTGCTTCCAAGGCCTGTAAGAAGGCTTACATTAGAGCGGATGCCCAGCGCGTTGCACGTGTTGGCCAGGAACTTATGACGCATCCTACGGGTTCCCGTAGCTACTGGCGTCTGGCCAAGGCCGTGCAAAAAAACTTCTGCGAGCCCTCGCTGCCACCTCTGAGATGCCCAGACGGAACACTAGCCCATAAGCCGCAGGAGAAAGCCGATTTACTGGCAAAACTCTTTGCGGCTAACTCCCGAATCGATGATTGCAATGCACTGCCACCATCATTACCTCACTGTGGCACAACGATGCCTGATATTAAAATCAGGCAGCGCGAGGTTCGTGCCGAATTGCAATCACTCGACGTCCGGAAAGCTAGTGGACCTGATGGCATCCCAGCAGTAGTACTCAAAAAATGTGCAGCGGAGTTGTCTCCCGTGCTCACGCGCTTGTACCAATGCTCGTATTCTTTGGGGCGTGTGCCGGAGACTTGGAGAGATGCCAATGTGCAACCGGTGCCCAAAAAAGGGGATCGCTCAGACCCGGCAAACTACCGGCCAATAGCAGTCACCTCAGTTTTATGTAAAGCTTTAGAAAAGGTCCTTAATAACCATCTGACCCGCTACCTAGAGGATCACTCCTTGATTAATGATCGTCAATATGGTTTTAGACCGAAACGATCGACGGGTGATCTTCTAGCGTACTTAACTCATATCTGGGGTGAGGCTATCGACAAGCGTGGCGAGTCGTTGGCTATCAGCCTTGACATTGCCAAGGCTTTTGACAGGGTCTGGCACAAAAGCCTTCTCTCCAAGCTTCCGGCATACGGTCTGCCAGCCCAGTTCTGTTCTTGGGTAGCTGACTTCCTGCATGAGCGTAGAATTCGTGTCCTTACGGATGGTAGCAGTTCGCGGTTCATGTCAGTGAATGCCGGCGTTCCCCAGGGCTCCGTCCTATCCCCCACTCTCTTTCTGCTGCATATCAATGACTTAATTCCTCTTGGGAATATTCATTGCTATGCAGACGATAGTACAGTGCATGCGGGGTATCTCGGACAAGCAGCGGCTGGGCTGGCGGTAACCAAGGAGAAACGCGAGAATCTTGTCATTGAACTCAATCAGGCTTTGGACCACATTTCCGAATGGGGTACCAGGAACTTGGTTGAGTTCAATGCCAAAAAAACTCAGGCTTGCGCCTTCACGGCAAAAACATCGTCATTCCTTCCCCTTCCATCTCTTCAGGGCACAACACTACCGCTGCAGAGCAACATTTCCATGCTCGGTATGGAAGTTCGCTCAGACCTGAATCCAAAGAACTACATCGAAACCGTGATCAAAACAGCTTCACGCAAACTCGGAGTCCTGAACAAGGTGCGGCGTTTTTTCACGCCCGATCAACTGTGCTTGTTGTACAAAACGCAAGTGCGGTCCTGCGTGGAATATTGCTCGCACCTCTGGGATGGCTCCGCCAAGTACTTGCTCGATGCTTTGGATAGGTTACAGCGACGCGCGATCCGCATCATAGGCGATGAGGAGGTGACTAAACACCTTGAGCCTCTTCAATTACGCCGTGACGTGGCGTCACTAAGCGCGTTCTATCGTCTGTACCACGGCGAGTGTTCTGAGGAGTTATTCTCTCTTATCCCACCTTCTCCTTTCCTTCAGAGGACCACGCGCGCTGGCCTACGTTGTCATCGTCTAACTGTGGCCACAATTCCAACGCGTACAAAGAAATTTGGTGACTCATTTCTTTGTCGCACTATCCGTAAATGGAATGCTCTGCCCGCTCACGTGTTCCCTCCCTCTTACAACCTGGGATCCTTTAAAAGAGGCGTGAAGAAGCAACATGCAGGCCGGCAGGGTGAGGATGGCTGGTGTGGCAGGTAAAACTGCTGTATCAGCTATCGTCACGTCTGGACTTCACCTTCACTTAACATCAGGTGGGGTGGAGTCATTTGTCGGACCTATCTATAAAAAAAAAAAAAAAAAAAAATAATAATATAGCACATATTCAACACCTTCCAGTTAAACAGAAAATAATGCCAACCAAATTTGTAGCGTCACAAACTTGAGGTAATGTTGGATCAAACGTTTGATATACACATCTTGCATCAACCACCATCCTCAAGAGCAGAATTACAGCAACAAAGTTTATGGAGACCAGCCCAAGTCCGGGGGTTGCGACACACCGACTAAAAACGCGGTACCATCACATCGGCACCACGATATTCAGGGAACGCTAACATATTTACCGATTATTTTAACAGTAAATCAGCTTAAATTTAGTCGTGTTAGCAACATCTAACGGAATATTGTACACAAGGTCACGTAGCTTTAGAAACCAACCAAGAATTGACATTATGTGATGTAATCAATATATTGTACCCTATTAGTTCACTTAAAAGCAAATCCACTTGATTTCGCGTTCTTATGCCACCGTTATAATATTAATCACTCTCGCTAAACAACTATGCCCATCGATTAATTTAACAGTAAATGAAACAAAAAAGATTATAAACGTGATGCATTAATGCAATTCTCTTTTACGTATCACAAAAAACATTAAATGTCGAAAAGAAATCACAACTATGAATTTATAATTCATAAGAAAATATATATAAGTAATAATTAATAATAATAATAAAACAAAAGGACAAAAATAGAACAATATTTTGATCTTCCTCTTACTTTTTCGTTTTTTAATAATAATAATAAAAAACGTAATGTTTAACAACTTGCAATTAAATTTGTATTTTATCGAAATAGCAAAACTTCCTTTTGTCTTAACATTATAATACACTTATCGAAAGAATGCCAATAATAATGATGAAACATGTATATTTTTTACAATCATTACAGACTCAGTCGTGTTAAATGAATGAAGGATTTTACGTAACATAATAATGACGTTCTCTCCAACTAGCTACAAGGCACTACGTAGATGTTGACGCAAACCTACCCATAGAGGTAACACCCATAGAGGTAACACCCACAGAGGTAACACCCATAGAGGTAACACCCACAGAGGTAACACCCATAGAGGTAACACCCATATTAAATCCAGAATCGTAGTGCTTTTTTTTGGATATCACCACTACTTTAATGGTACAGTTCAGGTCACGCTGGTACATACAGATTAACATTCACAGCGTCTTCATAAAGTACCAATAGGAGCGATATTTTTAAAGTTTTAATTTTATCCATTTGCATGACCATGACTGTACCAAAAACAACTACACCGAACCCTGAAGTCACTGATAAGAAAACTATTATAAATTATAAAAACAATGTGCGATAATTAGTTTTAAACGTAAATAGCTAAGTTTTTTTCTCCCAATAAGCCCGTAAATTAATAAAAATAAATGATTCCAATAAAATTCTAATTGTTGTTTATGAAATTGTAACATCCGTTTTACAAAGATGAATTTGTCTGTGGATGGATCTGCGGGAATATTGCCATGATTTCCCAAAAGTCAACACGGTCAATATCCAGCGATTCATCTTTATGCATCATTAAAATGGTGTTTTGTGAAATACGATAAATATAATATTATTATAAGAACGATCGTACATCTTCAAAGATAGGACAGCAATGAAGCCATTCGATCATTGTGATCATTCCAACTCAAAGAGAAAACCTTTCCAAAACCTTCGTTCAGACTCAATCAAGAAATCAATACAGATTTACTTTTAACAATTCTGTGATATTTAATAGTCTTGTGGATAGAGATTATAGTAAAAAATATCAATTCAGTGTACAAAATATAGTTTTTTCAAATAGCCTGCTTATTCGATTCTAAATATAACATGTAATCTTGTCGACATAGTACCAATAATAGCTTCTATTCGGTATATTGACAGGATAGGAATTGCGTTTTCGTAATCACAATAATTAAAAAGAGTAAGCATCTGACCATTAAAAGATAACTAAAACGCTGCCTTCTAAATGGTACGAGTAACAAAACAAAAATCTATTAGCATTAAAAAAAAGTCACTGAGCCTTCATAAAGCATTTCTCATAAAATATATTCAATAATGTGTATCCTAAAAATATAAATATAATAATAAATATGAATGCAACCTATTCCTAAATATCAGGAATATAACACACAGTCGCTACATTCACACTTAACAAAGGCGATAATAAAAAAATAAATAAAAGATGCGAACTTAAACTTGAGGTTATTTGGCACTGTCCCATCTGATTATTATTGTTAAATAAGACCGTTATTGCAACTGATTCTGCGCAGGCGGCGGCGAACGCTAACTCCAAAATATAATACTTGCACTCGCCGCGCGACTGCATAAAATTATTATTTCCCTCTTTAAAATCTCAACTGGTTGCACTTTAATGACTAGGAATATAGAAGTAGTAAGTGGTCTTTATCTAAATGCACTAAGACGAAACAAAACATCGTAACGGAATGTTAAAATCGACACCATCCCATTGAAACATATAATATTTGGTCTCAATCGTAACACCCGCGAGCGAGCCTGGTACGAAACAATGAAATTGATTGTTAACACCATTCATGCGTCGAATCTTACATGCAAATTTTTAATAACACGTTTTTTACCTAACTACTTATGTATCTAGGGCAAATTGTACTTTGTACAAAACTAAAATCGTTCAAATTCATCATCTGTACAGTAAAAAACTGCAGAAACCCTACAATGGTGTTTCCCCACACTATACCCCCTTCAATCTTAAAACGACAATGTGGCAAAATCGAATAAAACATAAGCAATTAAGTATAAGCCCGTTTCCTATTGTATCACAGTTGTGTTTGAATAATATGCAACTTAAACTGGTATAATAAAATATATATAAGACTATTGTAGTTACGTAAGAGTATAGAAAATGATTTAAAAATAAAACGATATAATCATATTATATAATTGAGGTAGTTTTGCCACAGTGTAACTTTAACGCGTGTTTCAACCTAGGCCAAGGCGATTTACAATATTCTCCTATTATTTACATACACTTAGCCTATGACCATCAGTCTCAACATCATTTCTAAGATTCCCTAGCTCAGGTAATATAATTTAAGCTATGTCATTCTCGACCGAGAGCACGAAATAAATCGTCTACAAAGGTAACTATACTTCACAGTCAACTGGACATACGTATATATTACTAAAGTTTTGCAAAAACAAATTAAGGTACGTACAACTCAATGGGTGCGAACGCTGGGTACGACATTTTTGAAACACAGTACCCGACAGAGATGTAAACTGAGCAACCATTCGAAGTCACACTTGAATCATTAAATTAAGTAACAATTATCGCACAATTTCAAAACCTTAAAAAATCTTAAGATCAATTTTTGAGGTAGATTATCGATTACATAATATGCAAGACGAGGTAATTTATTGTACGCGTGTTACAGAGAGACGTTGGGCAGGCGCAATAGAGCCTCGTACAAAACACGCGATCTGAAGATGCTTTCACACGATACACGAGAGCTCTGAATATCCAGCATGTTAACGAAGTGTTCGGTATGTATAAAACAGTGCTTGCAAGAGCAGGCTACATTGAGAACAAAACGAAATTCCTTTCGTTGATGTAGATATCGCATTTTGCCATACAAATCAATCAGGAATACCAGTAAAACATGTTGCTGAGTGAAAAGAGGTTCGCGCGTTCTCAATGTGGCTCAAGTACAACGTTTCGCTGTTAAACCGCGAAGGATCTGCCGAAGTACTTATCGGAACTCGCCTATAGTGTAAATTCTCCTAATAGACTATTCGCACGAAGCCAATAGCCGAAGCAATTCTATAAGGTATCGTCTAAATATGGACACAACTCGAGGACAATCCCACGTAGCACTATCCCTAGTCAGACGATTCTCAGCAGATTGCTTCAACTATTGGGGTCGTGTAAGTGATCTATAATAGATCTGCGTGGTAGTACGAAACATTTCACCCGCCAGCGCCGGAGAAGAGGAGTAGAGGTAGTTTCGGTTGAGAAGAAACGGAGGAGTGTCCGATCCGTGGGGCTGGGCTCGGCTTGCCTGTCCCCGCAGCGAAAACACCAAGATACGATATGATAAAGCTTTTATCGAAACTAAACTGGCAATATTCATTGTGGTTTACCATCCCAGAACAACCCTACTAGAGTCCGCAAAATTCAACTAGACTGTCGAGCTCCACTGTGGTTTCGACTATGGCAACAGGGATCATCCACACTTCAGTTTACTCATTACTCATATTTTGTTTGAAATCTAAATATCCGAAATTGGTAATTTGTGGGATGGGTAAGCCGCGTTTAGATCGGATGACTGCGAGCGACGTCACGATCAAATGATAAATTTGGTGAAATGGTGTACCTATCACTGTTGGTCAACTTTTGAGGCATCTCTAGTGGGGGTGCTCTGAGATATTGGCGTAGCTAGGGATTACCACTAGGGTAGTAGCCGTCCAGATGTACTAACATTCATTCGGATCGATTTATAAATTGCAAAGACATTTATCAATACACCAATTTTAGGATAGACAAGACCCAAATTGCCCACGCTAACTCCCCCTAGCTACATCCATGTCGATATCGTCAGACTCTTGATACACCATTATCATCTGTTTGTAACTCAGTTTCAATAAACCGCTTTATCATATCATCCCAGTGGTTACGCCAGGGGAGCTGGTTAACTCGACACGTACGCCTACTGGGTGTGGTTGGGCAGCGTAGGCTGCGGCAGGTGCGGCGTGACCTGGTGGCGGTGTTCACGCGCGATGTGGCGGCGCACGGTGTTGTTGCGCGTGAACGTGCGCGAGCAGTGCGGGCACGGCACGCGGATACCTTGGTGCCGTTGTCTGATGTGCGCGCGCAGGTTCGTCTCGTAGCCGTACAGCCGCTCGCAGTACGGACACTTGAGTTTTTTACCTGGCGGGAGAGAATTTATCAAGAAATCAGTAATCAATATCATCATCATCATCATCAGCCTATTAATGTCCCCACTGCTGGGGCACAGGCCTTCCCTATGGATGGAATAGGGAGATTGGGCCATGACCCACCACGCGGGCCCAGTGCGGATTGGTGGGTGCTAACGATTGCAGATGCAACCGAGACCAACGGCTTAACGTGCCTTCCGAAGCACGGAGGAGCTCGAGATAGTAATTTTTGGTCACTCTTCCAATGACCGACCACTGCGAAAGTGGCTTAACTTCAACGATTGCAGCCGAACGCGCTAACCACCTGCGCCATCGAGCTCCTCTGTATCAATCTGAATCAATATATCTTTATTCAAATCGGAAGTATAGTACAACACTTTTGAATCGTCCAAACATTTTTTTCCCCTGCCACTCGTTATTGGACATATTTTTTAGCTGCGGAGAAAAACGAGCGAAAAAAAACTCCACAACATTAAAAGCATAATGTAATAACATTTATAAATCATTATATTGTTACATCGTCAATACAATCATGATTTATTTAATATAGAAAACCTGTTTGTTGGAATGATTGGAACAGTTCAAACCCAAGCATTTTTGTCTGTAATATAATCAGACACTTCGTAGTAATCTTTTTTAATAAGTGCTTTTTTTATACTAACTTTGAATTTATTTATGCTTAACTCTTGGATATTGCTTGGGACTTTATTGTATAAGCGAACACAAAGACCTTTAAATGAATTATTAATTTTGTGAAGCCTAGTAGCAGTTAAAGTTAGTTTATTTTTGTTTCTTGTATTAAGTGTGTGAACATCACTGTTTTTAAGAAACAAATTAATATTTTTTCTTACAAGTTATAAATTTTCGTAAATGTATTGTGATGCGACCGTCATTATACCAAATTCTTTAAACCTATCTCTTAAAAGGAATCCTTAACTTTAAGATTATAAATTGATCGAAAAGCTCTCTTCTGCAGCACTTCTGCAGCAGTTTAGAAATTTGGTACGGTGGTACGTGAACATTTAAGGGGTGTGAAGAGAAAACTGTAAAGTAGAATAGGGACCTACAGAGACACAATTTATCATAATGTTTTGTATTACCATTTGCTCGTGATCATGGACTTGGGGGACCAGAGGTCGGGTAACGAATCACAATATGTAGTCTCGCCGTCAACAATCACTATTTTGCTGCATTCACTCGTGGTCAAGTGCTTGGGGGACCAAGCATCAGGGCTAAGCTTTATCACAATGTTTTCTCTCGACATCAGCAGTAGCTATGCCGCCGGATTTGGTCGTGATCATGGGTTTGGGGGGCCAAACATTAGTGCTAAACTTTATCACAATGTTTTGTCTCACCATCAGCAGTAGCTATGCCGCCGGATTTGGTCGTGATCATGGGTTTGGGGGGCCAAACATTAGTGCTAAACTTTATCACACTGTTTTTTTTCTCACCATCAGCAGTAGCTATGCCGCCGGATTTGGTCGTGATCATGGGTTTGGGGGGCCAAACATTAGTGCTAAACTATATCACAATGTTTTCTCTCACCATCAGCAGTAGCTATGCCGCCGGATTTGGTCGTGATCATGGGTTTGGGGGGCCAAACATTAGTGCTAAACTTTATCACAATGTTTTCTCTCACCATCAGCAGTAGCTATGCCGCCGGATTTGGTCGTGATCATGGGTTTGGGGGGCCAAACATTAGTGCTAAACTTTATCACACTGTTTTTTTTCTCACCATCAGCAGTAGCTATGCCGCCGGATTTGGTCGTGATCATGGGTTTGGGGGGCCAAACATTAGTGCTAAACTTTATCACAATGTTTTCTCTCACCATCAGCAGTAGCTATGCCGCCGGATTTGCTCGTGATCATGGGTTTGGGAGGCCAGAGGTCGGGGCTGGGTTTGGGCGGCACGGGCGACGTGGCGGCGGGCTTGTCGTGGTAGTTGGCCGGCGGGAGTGGAGTTGGCGGCGGCGGCGAGTTGTTGTACCCGCTCTGGTGGTAGTCATTCTCGTTCTTCACCCGTAAATCTGCAATCGGAACATTAGCACATGATTTCCAGATCTATTTACGTATTATCTGATCGAATTCCTTTACAGAAGATATAAATTAGACAATTGTATAATAAAAATTAAATCTGATCAATCATTTAAACTTCAAAATTTAAACTGTCCACTAAATTAAAATCGGTATTTAAGTAGTTGAGAAAATGTAAGAATCCATGACTGCTTGATTTTACTGGCTCGTTGTTTTTTTTATTGGTACCTAAAACAAGAAACGTACTTGCAAACTTACAAAGTGGTCTACATGCCTATTTTGAAGTATCTATGTTTGCAAAAATGGCATTAAGACTGTTGGGCACAGAATCCCATTTTCAAATAGAACGACATAGAAATGAGTCGGAAAATGTTCTTGTGAACAAGAACAGTTAGTATGATTGTCTCAGTAAGTATGCGAAAACGGAAGCTAGCACGCACAATCCTAAAATCCCTGTTATCATCACCATGCAACGAAAGCCAAACCCAACTACCGCGTTCTAAAAGCCGAGAGAATTTAAAGAAAGCGTGGTCCTGTATTCTACCAACCTTCAGCATCTAGATAGCCGTTTCATCAATTTGCCATTGACCGAGGTGCTGCGGTCTTAACCGTTGTTCTTTATGGGTTTGCCGAGCGTGGAGCTGCAGTCCAGGGGATTGTCCTTATACCGCGGAGCCGAATTACCATTATCATGCAATGGAAGCCAAGCTGACTACAGCACTCTATAAGACCGAGAGAATGTAAAGAAAGCGTGGTCCTGTATTCTACCAACCTTCAGCACCTTGATCGTTAGAAAGCCGTTCCATCATTTCGTCGTTGACCGAGGCGCTGCGTTCGTAGCCGTTGTTCTTGGTGGGGTTGCCGAGCGTTGAGCTGCAGTCCAGGGGATTGTCCTTATACCGCGGAGCCGAATTACCATTATCATGCAATGGAAGCCAAGCTGACTACAGCACTCTATAAGACCGAGAGAATGTAAAGAAAGCGTGGTCCTGTATTCTACCAACCTTCAGCACCTTGATCGTTAGAAAGCCGTTCCATCATTTCGTCGTTGACCGAGGCGCTGCGTTCATAGCCGTTGTTCTTTATGGGGTTGCCGAGCGTGGAGCTGCAGTCCAGGGGATTGTCCTTATACCGCGGAGCCGAATTACCATTATCATGCAATGGAAGCCAAGCTCACTACAGCACTCTATAAGACCGAGAGAATGTAAAGAAAGCGTGGTCCTGTATTCTACCAACCTTCAGCACCTTGATCGTTAGAAAGCCGTTCCATCATTTCGTCGTTGACCGAGGCGCTGCGTTCATAGCCGTTGTTCTTGGTGGGGTTGCCGAGCGTTGAGGTGCAGTCCGGGGGGTTATCCTCGTACCGCGGGCCGGCGCCGGGCGACGAGCGCGTGTCCGGCTCGTCCGCGACGCTGCCGCAGTGCGAGGATGATGAGCTTTGCCTGGAATACCAATGAGAAGTATTAATTAAAAAAAAAAGATTTTGCAAGACCTTACAGGAACTTGGATGGCATATGATTTTTTGAAGTTATACTTCTTTAGGCGCGTTATGAAAAAATGATGAGAGTGAAATTTTAAGATGCGCGCGCATCACTGTAACACAAAATTTTAACAGCATGTCGCTTTAGCGACCAACTTCATGCGTTACTTTTGTGTTTACCGCACATTAAGAAAATCTACCAACAAAATAGAAATAGAATCTCTATTTATTGGGTGCTAACGACTGCATTGTGAAGGCCTATCAAAAGTATTTATTAATCTGGAACAACGGAACCAAAGCGCGATTCAGGAGACTACAGCGCCATCATGACCATTGGTGTAGTAGAACCAAAAACCACATCTTTATTTTTTGTAATAAAGTAACAGTTATAGGTATTCATATTTATAATATTTATCCACATGTTTCTAGTTTGTATATTCGGAATACGTGTTTGAGTTTCATACAAGTGCAAATCACATATGTTCTAATAAATTATATTCAGTAGCGATTTTAATTGAATATTTTGATTATTTATTTATTTTTTTATTAAAATTTCAGTGCTTACTTTCTTCTTTAATTTTCAACACTCACACCAATTAGCCTAGCCCCAAAGTAAGCACTGTAAGGCTTGTGTTATGGAATGCTAGGGTAACGGATAGAATACATATTACAGTACATATATTATAAGTAAATTTATATAGAAATACATATTAAACATCCATGACTGGAGAACAAATGCTCGTATTCATCACACAAACACCTGCCCCAACGGGATTTGAACCCGGGACCTATCGGCGACACCATGAAACCCAGCGTACAAACCACTCGACCACGGAGGTCGTCATACTATCTCAGGGATGATATACTATGTTTCAGTAAACCATAATATTCTTCAATATTACAAAACTATTAAGGCAAAGAATCTAGAAAACAGATTTTGGAAGACTTCAAATGAGAGTTTTGATATAGCAGGTTTTCTATTCGAGTTTCAGTGCTTTCTTAGGATGATATTCTATTATATTCCAGCAGTAAATTACTATCGCAAACAACTCTAATAAGAGAATTTAAAGATATAGGCAATCCTTCTTTTGAAATTAACAGCGGCAAATCTGAAGTCATCCAAATTAACGTCGCATTTTCTAGGTGATTGAGAACTGTGAAGTCAATAGCCTCATTATTATTTAGTATAAGCTATTCAACTCCTGATAAAATTAAACGTTGTATAAAGTTCACACGCAAGGTACTGCTTACTCAGACACGCGATTGCTTGGCGTTATAATACGCACTCACTTATTCGATAATTATGGTTTCATATTTTAACTAGCGGCCCGCCCTCGCTTCGCTTCGGTGTAGAGCTGAAGTGTAGACTACAGTTTTTGTTCACAGGCTTGTATTATACACAATGACATTCATCTGTGATTCTTCTTATACCTGCATGCAAAGTCTCAGCCCGATCGGTTTAAAATTGACAAAGTTTCATACAAAGTTTCATTCCCTATTTTATTCCCTTGGGGGTAGAATTGATCAAAATCCTTTTTTAGCGGATGCCTACGTCATAACATCTACCTGCATGCCAAATTTCAGGTCGATCCGTCCAGTGGTTTGGGCTATGCGTTGATAGATCACTATGTCAGTCTGTCACCTTTGAGTTTTTTATATAGATAGATGAACATTTAAAAAGAGTTGCTTAAAATTGAAGGAATATAATTTACCTGTAATTCCTAGCGTGGGGACTCTGTGACGGCGAAGGTTTAGGCGGGACAGGTCGACGATGAGAAGTGGAATGCAGCGGGACGTGAGCTGGTGGGGCATACCGACCCATGGTACCGGTGTTGCTATGCATATGCAGCCCGTATTGGGGCATCGGGGCGAACGTGGCCGTGTGTGGCTGAGGAGGACCAGATTCTTGGACCTCGCAATTGCCAGAACCCGACACTGGGCTAGTCTTTATGCGGGTTTGGTGGCGGTCGGACGACTGCTGGGCCTGTTGCTTCACCCAAGCGTCTTTGGACATCTCCATCGATAGACCCTTAACCTGAAAATCGAGAAGTGAGGTTTTAAATAAGAATATTTTCACCTTTCAATTACTACTGAAACTTTAGTTGTACACCGTCAGGTCATAAGTATTGTCACACAGTAAAAACTTTTCTTTTAGAATGCTGGCCACAAAAAAGTTTATTGAATTAGAATTTCGAATTGTTCATGAAAATAAAAATGTATACTTTTTAGAATTTTACTCATTTTTAAATATGGAGTGGACGCTTAAAGAAGACCGTGTTGCAGTTATTGCGTTGCATCGTTGCGGTTACGCGCCAATTCAATTTTTTGTGTAAATGTAGTAAATGGTGGACTTCACTTTTCTTTTGACGTTCTTCCCGCTACGGTTGTGTCGGAAAGCTGCTTACACTTCAATTTATTTTTAACCACAACTTCATTTCTTTGAACTCTAGATGAAAAGGGCTACGTGTAAGTCCATAGCAGGGTATTCCTGTGCGCCATAATTTCACACAGATCTCATCGTGAATTAAGGAACAAAAACAAACTTATAAATTTAATAATATTAGTATAATGCGATTCAAATAAGAATAGGAGAGCCAATGACCTCTATCTGTCAAATGTCACTTGAAAAGTACCGTTTGCAAAAAAAACTTGGAACCCGTTTTTAGCACTCCGCTAATTCAAGAATAAAAACCAAACATTTGTAAACAAACAATCACAAATATTGATAATTAATATCGGATGATATTTTTTTTTCACTTATTGAGCTTTGGCCATCAATGGTTGATAACCTAAATCGTTAACCAAATGTCACTTTAAGTTGAGTTCAAAAACTCGATTTCAAACTTTCGTTTACATAAAGGATGCATGTTCGTATGTGACCTAGTGAAAGTGCGATTATTCATAACTACTGCAGCGGTAATGCAGAGATGAGCGGAATAGAAGAGCTAGATTCTGATTAATGTTTTTTCTCACAGTCTTAATATATAAATATTATTAAAAATCGGTGGTTTTTTTTCTCAATCTTAGTAAATAAATGTTATTAAAAAAAATCTGATGCTTTTTCTCACTTAAACTTAGTAAATAAGTTTTATTAAATAAAAACTTTTTTTTGCTCACTCTACCTATTTGATTTGAATTGACAGCTATGACATCACAATATAGCACCCAGTCGGTCCTATTCTTAGTTGAATCGCATTATAGAGTAATCATAAACACATAGCCCACCTTTCTGATTCCACATATACATAATTTACTGTCGTTTTATTATACCAGTGGATGTAATTTATTACGAAGAGGATGTGTAGAATAAAACAACTTAATAGACCATAACATAGTAAACTTAGTGTAAACTTGAAGTGTAGGCAGCTTTTCGCCATCGTACATCGCAACAAAAATTTCATCCCCATCATCTTGATGCGTGGCTATCCACAACCGTGCGTTTTTGTCGAAATTTTCTACCACGTACGACAAAACTATGGAATATATTGTCGCCAGCAGTGTTTCCGGACCAATAAGACCCAAAAACCTTCAAAAAAAGAGCGTACTCCTTCCTTAAAGGCCGGCATCGCATTTGTGATACTTCTGGTGTTGCAAGTGTCCATGGGCGACGGTGATCACTTACCATCAGGTGAGCCGTCTGCTCGTATACCCCCTATAACATAAAAAAATGGATGCGTGTAACTTGTGTACGCGCGTGAGAAGTTATACTTCTTTAGCATCATTAAAAATATTTTTTAATTGCATGCAAATAATTAATAATTACAATAAAATAATAAAAGGACTAGAAAAGGATAGTTAACACAGTCAATTAAGTTCAGTTTTAATTTGAAAAATTAAATAAATATTCAAAATATTCAATTAAAATCACTACTGAATTTAAGTTATTAGTCCATATGTAATTAGCACTTGTAAGTAACTAAAACACGTTGTGTCTATATAGAAACTAGAAACATGTGGATAAATATTATAAATATGAAAACAGTGATCAGAGGCGATGAGCGTGCCAACATTGTTTTTGACAACGCGATCATCTTATGGAGCTCCGTGGATCGTTCAAAGTACCTTTCGAACAGATGTCTAGTAAGTGCTTAGTGGTTAATAATCCACCATTATTAGACACTAACATTCATAACGCGCCCGCGGCCAACTTCATGCTGTTACTTTTGGGTTACAGTGATGCGCGCGCATCTAAAAATTTCACTCTCATCATTTTTTCATAACGCGCCTAAAGAAGTATAACTTCAAAAAAAAAATAGTAGAGAGAAATTGTCTACCTGTAAATTTTCCCCGCTCTTCAGGAAACTGGAGAGCGCGTCTTGACTGACGTGCACCTCCCCCTTGTACATAAACTCGAGCAGGGCCTGCATGTTGTCTGCCGTGGTGGCCTCCAAGATGACGTAGCAGGCGCCCGCATGGCTCGGAGGCGCCGTGTCGAACAATTCCTGGAAGTGCTTGCTGCACGCTGCCAGGATCACCTTGTGTGCTTTGAACTGGCGACCTGGAACAAAAGAGAACACAGATCAGCACAAGATACTTGATTGCATTTATTGGCATTCGCAGGAATTGGAGAATCATACATGTTACGCAGAAACTCTATTTATTTCACAAGCAATAAGATCTACGTTAGTTGATTTATACTTTAACTAGCAGCCCGCCCTCGCTTCGCTTCGGTGTAGAGCTGAAGTGTAGACTACAGTTTTTGTTCTCAGGCTTGTATTATACACAATGACATTTATCTATGATTCTTCTTATACCTGCATGCAAATTCTCAGCCCGATCGGTTTAAAATTGACCAAGTTTCATACAAACATTCATTCCCTTTTTTATCCCCTTGGGGGTAGAATTGGCCAAAATCCTTTCTTAGCGGATGCCTACGTCATAACATCTACCTGCATGCCAAATTTCAGCCCGATCCGTCCAGTGGTTTGGGCTGTGCGTTGATAGATCACTATGTCAATCAGTCACCTTTGAGTTTTATATATATAGATTTATCATCCTTTTGATGCTACTACTTATTCAATGCATCAATTTTAGAAAACCATGTACATTCCATTTTTTTATATATTTTTATGCTTACGCTTAACATTGAAGCGAAATTATTATTTAATGAAATGAACATATTGAGAAATACTATTACATCTGACGTATCTGAAGGCTAAATATATACGCAGTTATGCAGTATTTATATGTTTAATTTATATTTGACAACTATTCAAAGAAAATTTGCAAAGTTTAACGGCTTTAACCTTAGAGTTCAGCATCACAATACCTACGAGTTGACCTTCGTAAACTTGGCATTGCATTGATATGCAACCATATTCTGGGTTAATTTTATACACTTGCGCAAATATTCTGTTGTCTATTAGTGTTGCCGAATTATCGATATTTAAACTATCGACAGTTTACATCGATAATCATGTACCCTATCGATAGGCCTATCGATAGAATCGATACAACCGATACTATCGATAGCTCAGAACAAGGCAATACTATTGAATGAGTGCAATACTATAGATACTATCGATAATATTGTAGTTCGTTAATAACAAACTATTGATAGTATCGATACTATCGATAGTGTTGATTTTATCTGCACCAATACTATCGATAGTATCGATACTAGCGATTGTTTTAGACTAAAGTTTTGACTATATATAGGATTGTTGACTATAATACCTGAAAATTGTAAACTATACTATTGCAAATTGTTAAACTATCGATAGTATGGTTGCAAATAAAATCGACAGTATCGATACTATCGATAGTTTGTTATTAACGAACTACAATGCTATCGATAGTATTTAACTCATCCGATAGTATTGGCTTTTTCTGTGCTATCGATAGTATCGATATACTATCGATAAGCCGTACGATTGGTTGGCTATCGATAGACTATCGATAAATCATCGATAGTCGACTATCGATCGGCAACACTATTGTCTATTGCGAAAAATATACAACTAGGGAGAAAAGAAGGAAATTTTATCCTCGAGCTTGTGTAGTTGCGTTATGTCGACATAGTTATAGTATGTTATCGAAGTACGGCTATACAAGGTTTTCATTTTTGAGTTACGTGTATGAAAACGGCAGTGCTTTTCATTTCTTTAACATTTACGAGTCATCTTTTTTATGTTAATAAATGTATTATTTACAGTCATTGATGTTTTTTCATGGGACTTCACTTCATCAAAATATTTGTCGTTGAACTTTTTCCTATAAGGACCATCAGAATGCTTTCCACTGGGTCCATAAATTACTCTCATCAATATACATACTTTCATTCATTGTCTGTAAGTGACAAAACAATTATTTAATCTGTACGTCATCTTTTTTTGTTACCAATGGCAGTAGTCATTTGAAGAGATGCGAATCTACGACTGCCAACCGTCTGAACTGGTTTAACTAACTTGTTATGGAAATGCTGTTGGTATTTATATTAGGAACCAAATAACTGAAGTTAAAGATTCGAGACATTATAAACTTAATTAAAAAGCACTTGGCACGATTGTCTTTTATAGTCAATTGATAGAAAACTCATACAATAATCTTAGGTCCGCAAAAAACGCAGAAATGCAGGTATCTATCTTAATATATATAAATCTCATATCACAATGTTTGTCCTCAATGGACTCCTAAACCACTTAACCGATTATAATAAAATTCGCACACCATGTGCAGTTCGATCCAACTTGAGAGATAGGATAGTTTAAATCTCAAATTATAGTCGCAATTTTAATTTATTGAAAATTATTACTTTTGGGCGGTACGAAGTTCGCCGAGTCAGCTAGTATTATATAAAACTCAAAAGTGACTGACTGACATGGTGATCTATCAACGCACAGCCCAAACCACTGGACGGATCGGGCTGAAATTTGGCATACAGGTAGATGTTATGACGTAGGCATCCGCTAAGAAAGGATTTTGATCAATTCTACCCCCAAGGGGATAAAATAGGGAATGAAAGTTTGTATGAAACTTTGTCAATTTTAAACCGATCGGGCTGAGACTTTGCATGCAGATATAAGAAGAATCATAGATGAATGTCATTGTGTATAATACAAGCCTGAGAACAAAAACTGTAGTCAACACTTCAGCTCTACACCGAAGCGAAGCGAGGGCGGGCCGCTAGTTTATAATAAGTTGATTCAGTAAGTAGCTAATTAGTTATACTTTGATATCGTGCGCAATGAAGATCTACCGCCCACGCGTTGTAAACAAAAGTCACGGTGTGATGATTCGAAGGTGGTCCAAATGATTCTCTGAATCGCACTATTTGCAATTAACGCCACGTCGTTGGCTACAATTGGTCATTGGCAGTACCTTTATTATGACGCAATAGGAGGGACATTCGTAAAGCACGTGTGTCCATTGGCGGGGCCTTGATTGTACTTTGCACCCATTGTAGATGCTCGGAGTTTTGTTTCAAAGCTTGTTTATTGTTTTTTCCGCTTACAGGCCTATCCAGTTAAAATGAACCCATTAGAATGTGACTTATTTTGGACCTCAGCATTACTATTATTACTATTACTATTATTCCTTTATTTCATTAAATATACATACAAAATTATATTTCTAAATATTAGTTTTTTACAGCGTATAACATTAAAAAAATAACATTTATAAATACAAAAATGTAGTTCCCTATCGGCAGCAAGATCAGGGTCCCTGCTACCGGTGGTTAAGGATCCAGAGACAGGAACCTCCTCACAATACGGGCCGTGTCCAGAAATACTGCCTTCTGCATCTGACTCTTGACCCAACCACCTAACGCGAGCCTCTTAAGGTGTTTATCGAGGCTCTTGGCTATCAAACCATGGGCAGATATGATTATCGGTACAACAATTGCTGAATCGATGTCCCACATGTCAACAATCTCGCGAGCTAAATCAAGATATTTGTTTTCTTTGTCTTTTTCAGCTTTTACAAGGTTGTCGTCATGGGGGACAGCGACATCAACAACTACTGCACGGCGTTCGTGTCGATCTATCAATACAATATCGGGCTTATTAGCCACAATAGTCCTGTCTGTAATGATAGATCGCTATTACTATTATTATTACTATTCGAGACTTTCAATTTTTCTAAAAAACCTCCTAGTTCAGATGAATACATACATTAAATTATGTAAAATACTCATCGCTTTAGTTACTATTACACAACCACAATTCGGTTAACTTCCTTGATCTCTGCGGAGTTTACGCTGCGCGCGCATAGATGGCAGCACCAGTAACATCTGGTCGGCCCTACAACCGCTCCTATAAAACAATAATCTAAATATTTCAAGGTCAGTAACCGCTGCCGTCGACTTCCTATGTTGCAAGCATTTCAAATGATTCCCATGCGATGACTCACTTATAGCTCGTGATTAAAATTAGTCTAGTTGTACAAAAATAAATTCAAATTTGATCTATTCTGAAACATTCACTTACCTGGCTCATTATATAACATTACTCTATTAGCATTATCTTTATTTAGTTATTAACATAAATATAGTAGATTTTACTAAACTCCCAATTATTTTTTGTGAAACCAAAACATTGTTCTTTCATTTCTAAGTACGTATATAGGTATCTGGTTTTGATATCACACTTTGATTATAATAGTACTCCAAACTAGCACACCGTAGCACTATCATAGATAAATGCGTATAATGTCAACGTGCATTCGATTATGGGCCGTATGACGCTTCATTTAGGATGGTATATTAGTTATACGGAGGCTGGTGCAGATAAGCCACAATACGTTTTGGAATTACGTCAGTGTGGATCGCGTGGAACAAAATACACTTAGCCTTGGAACGGCCGCGTATGCGCCGTAGGGGCGCCGCGAATGGCTGCAATATTTTTGAGGCTAATTAAAATTCATATTACGCATTTTCCGTTTAAAGATTTTCGAAAATCGAAAGTGATAGGTTTCATTCCATAATTTTACTTATATTTATTAATTATGATGAAGAAAAATGTCGTGTTTCATGTATTACCCTCGATCCTAAACCAATACAAGAACCATCTTTTTGAAATAATAAAAAACTTGTAATACTTATTAGATATGAAGATTAATAAGATTTTATTAGAATATTCGAAATTTTCGAATCAAACAAACCAGTTTTTTTTATTTAATACAATTACTTTGACTGCATTGGAAATTAAAAAAATAATATTGAGTATCCAATGTCATATTCAAAATACTCGTAACAATATCGTATGGTTGCCTTGCAAAAACATAAAAGTGTAATATTTTTGATAGTACTACTGCTAGAGTCTGTGCGGAAAGAGAATGGGATTTAGATTGGAGGGCTCTGTAGTACTTTTCTACAATATTTGTAAGGTTTACCCCTTTTAGACAGAATTAAATACAAAAAACCGCAAGAAATCACAACAACAAACAAATCCTTATCAATGCAAAACTTTGACGTTTTACAGATTGCTGGGTTTGATTGCCAAATAAAAATCTTAATGTTAGTTTCGTTTTTCGCCACGCCCATTCTCTTTCCGCACAGACTCTATTACTGGATACTACTTAAAGTATTATGATAATAGAGGTATTTTACTCCTGCTCAAGTATCGTGTGTGGTCAGCCTATTCTAAGCCTCGGCAATGCACGACCGTTCCGCTCCTCTAAACTCCGCCCACCAAAATGTTTAAATACTTCCTCGTTCTATCTCAACGTATTTACGTTAAGTTTTGTAGATTTACTTACTTATATGTATTTAAAAAAAACATAATGTTAAGATATGTTAAATATAGATTCTTTTGATTTGAAGGTAGTGTAGCGGGATAAATATTTTAAGTATTTCTTGGCTTTTCATCGCCTTTTGAAATGACCTTGTGATTGCGTATCATAAATTTTCACATATATTTGGATTCTTTTTTTTGTAAGCTTTGCTTCTGTAAAGTATCCTGAGAAGGACACAATATTTAAACACTTTTGAAAGTAATATCATCATCTGCCTTTCAAGTGTTTAAATATTGTGTATGGGAATCTTCTATCTATATATATAAAACTTAAAGGTGTCTGACTGTCTGACATAGTGATCTATCAACGCACACCCCAAACCACTGGACAGATCGGGCTGAAATTTGGCATGTAGGTAGATGTTATGACGTAGGCATCCGTTAAGAAAGAATTTTCATCAATTCTACCCCCAAGGGGATAAAATAGGGAATGAAAGTTTGTATGAAACTTTGTCAATTTTAAACCTGCAGCTAACACGTAAGTTAATTAGACTACCTAAACAAGCCCTGAAACAAATCGTGGGTATACGGGCCACGGCTACTTCAACAAACACCTTTGTAATATAGGTATTTCTGACAGCCCTCGGTGCAGAGCCTGCCTGGGGGACGAGGAGACGAGCACCCATATCCTACTGGAGTGAAGGGGCGTTGCAAGACAAAGGACTGCTCTAATGGGAAGCCCGAAGACAATAGTAGAGGCCTGCAGTAACGTTCGGGGACTGCTGAGCTTTCTGGAGGAGCTAGGATGGCAGGACTGATGCCAATCCCCACGCAAAATAGGCACTGGGTGTCGAGTTGCGGAAACAGCCCGCCGTCCTACTAAGACTAAGACTATCTCAATATTATTGGGGTCAAATTCAAGTCCTTAAACTTCAAAAATCGTAGCAAGACCAAGGACTTCTCTAATGGGAAGTCCGAAGACAATAGTAGAGGCTTGCAGCAATATTCGGGGACTGCTAAGCTTTCTGAAGGAGCTGGGATGGCAGGACTGATGCCAATCCCCACGCAAAATTGGCACTGGGTGTCGAGTTGCGGAAACAGCCCGTCTTCCTACTAAGACTAACTATCTTAATATTATTGGGGTCAAATTTCCAAGTCCTTAAACTTCAAAAATAGGTATTATCCCTGTATAAAGACGTGATTCGGAAGTTTTACCTGACTCCTAAGCACACGAGAGTGTTAATTCGCTTACAAATTTATATACACCGTATCGCCACGTCTTTTCCGTGAACACCTGAAATCACACTCTATATAAATAAATTTCATCACAGTAACCAAGGCGAACGTTTTCAGCGTACATATTATTATGAAGTTGGTGTACTTGACGATATTGCATTCGAGAAAATTTCATCTTTATGAAATCCTAATTTTTGAAAATGTTACTTCGTGTAAGTTTTTACAATCTCAGACAGACACAATGTTATTCTTGTTCTTCTTACATGCTACAAGTTTTGCGTTGCATTATCATAAATAAAATATATGGGATAAAAAAGTATGAAACTTTTATAAAAGTGAGCTTTAACCATTTAAACGACACTGTTTGAAACAAAA